CCCAGTGGCGCAAAGCGGGGAGCCGCCCAGCCGCGGACGGGCGGGTGGGTCTCCTCGGGAGGAAAGGGCCGCCGCCTTCAGTGCCTGTGGAGAAGCTTGTGAATCGGGACCTCGTTCAGCTTCCCTGAGCACGCTCGGGTTGGCCTGTGAGTAAACGGGCGCGCATCTGCCGTCTGCGGCAGGTAACGGGGCCGCTACCGAGGACATTTGTTATCTCTTGTCCAGGGAACGCCCGGTGCAAGCCGTGACCCCCGTGGGAACGGCTTCCCTTGGGAGCGGCTCTAGAAGCGGAGGGGTTGACTCGGAAGCAAGCCACTGCAGCGCTCCCGTCGCTTACAGTACTTGAAGGCAGCGGGACTTTCTCCCGAGGAGACGCGCTCCGAGATTTGTTGGCAGGCTGCAAAGTGGCGCTCAGCTCCTGGATCGCGAGGGGCCTCGCGGGTGCCGGAGCTCTCCTGTGCCTACTCGGTGTGAAAAGTGTCCCTGAGCCAGGTGCAAAATGCAATTCTTCCCCATGCACAGAAAATTTCAGGCGCGCTTCTCCTCCATCCAGATATTAAGCCTGGGGATGGCTTGCGGTTAAAATTACCCTCAGAACACCAGCAATTTCTCCGCTTGGGATCTTCTAGTATTTGCAAGATAACGTGCATCGCATCAGGATCTTGCTTCGGAGTAAACCAAATTAGCCTGGCCCCAGCACAACCCAACAAAAACAGCACACTCATTGCAATTTTTTATTTTACTTTTTTGCTACTGTGTTTGCATATCCTTTATTGCCAGCAGGAGTTAAATCAAAAGCTATTAAACAAATAAACAGGGATCCAATAGGCAAGCATAGAGACAAGCACTCGAAAATAAGATCTGCAGCATTCACGGGAGGGGGCACGAACCGTACAGGAACACCCTCTCAAGCAGACGCAGCGGATCTGACAGTCCATCAGCAGCTCCCGGGCGTTTTATCGCTTGCCAAGCTTTGGGCATGCGCAGTTAGGCGTCGCTCGCGCGCCGGCTCTCGAGGATGTCCGCTTGGTGCCGTCCAATGGCGAGCGACTCAGAATGGCGCCTGCGCCGGAGAAATTCCTTGAGGCGCGTGGCGGCGGAAAGGGGCCTTAGAAACAGCGCCGCTTTCGTTGGGCGCCTGCGCAATAGATACGACGGTTTTTTTTGGAGGGGGGGCAAATCAGGCTGAGGAAGCAAAAAAAGGAATTGTGTCGTAGGTGAAAGTTAGCATTTTCTCTCTCTCTCTCTCTGAGGAGGAACGATAAATGGGAGTCGCAGGACTTTTGGAAAACGTTGTTGCTTTTTCGACTCTAATTCCCATAATCCACCATCTAGCGGAATGTGGGATTCTGGAAACGGAAAAAAGTAACGTTTTGGAATTCCACGTGGTAGTGATCCTGGTCCCCTCTCAACTAGGAAGCAGCTACTGTATATATGCAGATAAAAGCCCAAAAGGGTGGTAAAAGAGTTTCCTGGAAACAATGACATGGGAAAAGAGTTTTCCTTTTCCTTTGAGTAACACCACAATTCATCAACTTGAATAAATAAACACATTGAATAAATAAGCAAATAAAGCCTTTTTGCCATGTTAATCCCAAAGATAGCACTCACATATTACAGTAACTTACACTGGGCAATTTAATTAGCGTTTAATTTAATTGGGGGGCTTTTTCATCAAGGTTCCTTCAATGATAAGAGCAAAAGAAGAGAAAGCTGTTTCCCTGGTGACAGAATCAGCAATGAATGGCATATCAAAAATTCTGCCTCTCCTTTCACTCCCAAGGTTGTTGCCCATCTTGGTGAAAGAGTCTTAAAATAAGCAAAGAAAAGGGGGTCTGAACTGTCTCAGATGGGCTCGTAGTCCCACAGGCAGTCCCAACAGGAGCCAACCCACTGAATCAGTGGGACTTGGGTAAATATTGACTCCTCCAACACTCGTTGATTCAGCGAGTCTATGGTGGTGGTGGTGATTAGTCGTTTAGTTGTGTCTGACTCTTCGTGACTGCATGGACCAGAGCACGCCAGGCCCTCCTGTCTTCCACTGCCTCCCAGAGTTGGGTCAAAGTCATCTTGGTCGCTTCAATGACCCTGTCCAACCATCTCATCCTCTGTCGTTCCCCTTCTCCTCTTGCCCTCAAATTTTCCCAACATCAGGATCTTTTCCAGGGAGTCTTCTCTTCTCGTGAGATGGCCAAAGGATTGGAGCCTCAGCTTCAGGATCGGTCCTTCCAGTGAGCACGCAGGGTTGATTTCCTTCAAAATGGATCGGTACTAATAAATATCATAGAATAATTGAGTTGGAATGGGCTTATAAGGCCATCAAGTCCAACTTCCTGCTCAAGGAAGGAATCCAAATCAAAGCAGATTTGACAGAGGGTTGTGCCATTTTTCCTTGAATTCCTCCAGCGCTCACCACGTCCCGAGGTCATAGAGTCCATTGTCGTACTGCTCTAACAGTTGATAAGTTTTTCCTGATATTCAACCTAAACCTGGCTTCCCGTAGCTTGAGCCCATTATGGTGTGTCTTACACCCTGGGATGATTGAGAACAGATCCTGCCCCTGCTCTGTAGGACTACCTTTCATGTATTTGCGAATTAGATTTATTCCTTAATATTCAGTTTTTAAAAATGCAAACTTTGAATATGATATCTTATTTAGAAGAGAGAGAGCACTGTGCCCCACATGGTGGTCATTCTTACTTAATATGGATGTTAAGAGCTTGGGAAAGTTTCTTTCAACTATAATTTACAGAATACCATGGCCACTATTGCCACATGAGAATCTGGCTTCTAATGCAAATCTGAAAGATTTTAAATGGCTGTAAGCTTCAAACAGCCTGAATTATGTGTTTCTACACATGGTCCTTTCTTTCTCATATTTGGCAAGGCTCATAGTTCTGTCTGCATCTTCAAGCTACTCAAAGCATAACAAAAGCCTTTCAATCCCAACAGAACTAGGGCTCTAGTCATGTAGGTGACATAAAAGTAAACCAGCTGCTGTTCTAAAATTATTTGCATTGTACCTATGCACAGATCCCCTTAAAATACAAGCCCTTTCACTTCACTAATGACCTTGCAGTCTACATGTCAACCAACAGTGGGGGGAATAAAATGAAAGGACAGAGTGATAAATGGGAAATTGGTAATGGTAGCAAGAGGTGAGGAAATGCAACCATTAGATTACACTGTAGATGGGGCCAGAGCAGAGAGGTTTAGCTAAAAACATCACAGAAGTTCTGTCTGGAGAAGAGGTTAAAAAGGCAGAGATGATTACCAGTTGCTTCTGTTTCTACCTTTTATTCCGTGGGTGATCATCAATGTGTTATTCGTGTAAATGGCACAAGAAAGAGGGAGGCATGAAGGCAACTTAAAATTCCCCATAATCATCCGAGTGATTTAACAATAAACATTCTGACTATCCGCCAATTTACCCTTAACCCATTTATACTCTCAAATTCCTTCAAATGTAGTTTAAGCCTTTCTATTGTTTGAATTGGATTTTAACCCTTAATAATGTGTCAGCAGCAAACAAGTTTATCTTACCATTTTCTTTGTTGTCTATCCCTCTAATCTGTTTATCATCTCTAATTATCTGTGCCAATAATTCAATTATCATTGTAAATAATACTGGAGATAAGGGGCAACTTTGTCTTGTGCCTCGGCCTAGGTATATTGTCTCAGTTATACCATCATTAACTATAATTCTGGCTGTATTATGTGAATACAGTTGGTGGATTATCTGCCTAAAATTGGGTCCAAACCCTAAATATTTAATTAATAACTAGACAGTGCTGAGAAAATAAACAGCAACACCTTGCAGCGCTATTCACTGTCAGGACACCTATGTGCAGGGGTAGTGCAACCTTTGTGCCACTCTGTACCCACCTCTAGGAAGGAAAGTAGACGATTTCAAATCAAGAAAAGAGGAGACCATGGCATGGATGACGTAGTTTAGAAATTACTACACCCCTCTTAAATGGTGAGAACTCTTAGTGCTTTGTTTATTATTTATTTATTTAATTTATACCCTGCCCATCTAGACCGAAGTCTACTCTAGACAGAAGTCTACTGTAGATATTTTTCATTTTTATTTGGCTGGTAGTTTTGTCGTAGCTTTATGTTCCACCATCTTTACTTGCAGTTGTTGCTGTATTACTGTATATGGTATTTTTGATACATTGCATGTTATCTAGAGAATTCTTTTGCACTACCTTTTGAAATTGAGGTAAATCGATACCAAAT